TACTTAATTTTTTATGATTTTCTTATATTTTATAAATATGTAATTACTTACATACTTACTTCACCCCGGACTAACCAGAGTTAGAAGTATTCGGTTTAAACTTACGGATTTAAAAAAATTTCAAGGGGGGGTAAAAAAAAATTTTTCCCCCCCCCTACAAAATCCTTATATCCGCCCCTGGTAATGTCACACACAAAATTTGGACCCGATCAGTTTATCCACGTTTAGTGGATACAAACGTACAAGGACAGGGATATAGCTTTTCATATATGGGATTTGCACACAGCCAAATACACGTCATTTAAAGAGACCGGCTATGCATGATAGTTGAGCTGAAAGTGCATTATTGTGAAGAACAATTTTAGGATTCATTTGATACCAATGAGACATTTTTACAATTTTTGAACAAGAGCGTAAAGTCGTTTGTAATATTTCACCAGTTGTTTCAGCTCTTTCAGCCAGTACATATATTTAATAAGCTAGTTTCATAGTACATAGTTTCATAGTACTGGTTTAAATTAGTTTAGAATTGGAAGTATGGAAGATATACTATGAAGAATAAATACAATTGTATACATTTTATTAATTTGTGAAGTATAATCAAAATTATCAAATATTTTCTGAAAAATTCATCAATGCATTTCATATATTTCTTATTTTTTGATCAGCCTGCCCAGGGACCAAAAGGTAAACCATAATCATCCTGAAATATTCAACATTTAATGTTAATGAAATATAAACTTTTTTCCAAATTTTATAATTTTATAATATGTCCTTCAAAGACTGGCAACATAGTTTCATGTGAACATCATTTTTATGCATAATTTGTTGTCTTAACAAATCATGGTGTTATTAGTTCCAAAACTAACTATACTCAAAAAAGGGAAGGTTTGTCTCGAAAACGCGACAGTGTTTCAAATTCAGGATATGTTCGAAAATGGAAAACCTGACATTGTCTTGAAAACGGTCAAGAGATTTGATATAAAAGGAACTCCTATTATAATTTTGATTTATAAAAGTTTGATATCGGAAATTGTTGGCCTCGACATGTTTAATAAAATGTTGGTTATAGTTTTTACTATCGACATTTACTCTGGATATGAGCCGGGATCCCAAAAACTCAGTCTTTCAATATTAATTGTGCCCATATCTAACACTCAGTGTTAGAAATGGGCCAAGTGTTAGTTTTGAAACTAATGTCCCCTGAATATATAGAGGACTTTAATTTCATGCATCACATCTGTACTTATTCCCTCAATAAAGCAGAATGCATTTTTAGATATAAAAACAAGAAAAACTCACTCGTTTTTGCTGCAATAAAAATATCAAAATGGTTCTGTTACGAATTACTTGCACTGTAAAAGAGGTTCACTTATAAAATTATTTAAACTTACGCCTTGAGTAGAATTTTTAGCATAAGCTGTTTTATCCCAACTGGGAGGTTTTGCTTCAAGATCAGGGTCATCTTAAACACACAAAAGTAGATGATTATGTGCAATATAAACAAATCACGCACCCTGACCCTTAAGGAAAAGTAAATTCAACCTAAAGTCTGACCGCGTCAACCATATTGCACCGGCTAGTCCTATTGACTGTCTGCTTTATTTACCCAATATCTGGGCGATACAGTACAAACTGGGACCGGAAAGGTTGACCCGGCTAGGAAATTCAAATGTACTACGGCTGCCCGTGAAATGCATACTCCCTATAATTCTTTTAAAATAAACCAACATTCGAGACAACAAATCGTTTTTTATATATTTATCCAGAATATGATATTGTACATTTGCAGTTTCCTTTCAGAATAAATATGTACAAAGTTTTCATTCATTTTATTTTACGATCTTTTCCTCTCTCTTCAGGACATATGATATACAGGAAAAATGATATACAGGACAAATAATTTGTAGGACAAATGATATACAGGACAAATTATTTGAAGGACAAATGATATACAGGACGAATAATTTGTAGGACAAATGATATACAGGACGTATGATATGTAGGACAAATGATATACAGGACATATGATTTGTAGGACAAATGATATACAGGACAAATGATTTGTAGGACAAATGATATACAGGACAAATGCTGCTGCATTAAATACACACAAGTCGCAGGCTCAATGTGTCTTAAAGTAGAGGAAAATAGTAAAAAAGTTATGGTTAAAATGTTGAAAGCAGAAATTTTAATTTTATAAAATTCAAAGTATTACCTAAAGTTTGAACCAGGTACTGCTTAGAATCGATACTAACAAACAGAAACAAGAAGGATATCAGAATAGTAAACAGATTCATCGGAGCTAAACAGAAACAAGAAGGATATCAGAACAGTAAACAGATTCATCGGAGCTAAACAGAAACAAGAAGGATATCAGAATAGTAAACAGATTCATCGGAGCTGAACAGAAACAAGAAGGATATCAGAACAATAAACAGATTTGAAATTTCAAGAACTAATAATGAACTGATCTGCAATTATCGCGTATTTTCGATGATTTTTTGCAAAATTGTAAATCTCAATTTTGTTACATTTCTAAAAGAATTTACAGTAGCTTAATATCTCTTGACAGGAAATGGTATTAGTCATAGATTAATAAAAATAACAGATAGGACACTAGATGTCGTCTTTTTAAGATTTGATTTGAGGCAGAAACCCAGAGGAGTTTCACGCAGTCTGCAGCATAAAATTACAAGATAGAGTGAGCCTGTTCTACGCCGACTGAGCGAAACTCCTCTGAGCTTCTGCCTCAGGGTTATTGTGATCGAGTTTCATCTAAATCTTGAAAAGACGACTTCTAGTGTCCTATCTCACCCCGGACTAACCAGAGTGAGAAGTATTCGGTTTAAACTTACGGATTTGTTTCTACTTTCCATTCAAAACGTATAGGCCAAATAACAAGTATTTAAAAAAAAAAGTTAAAAGATGATGTATAATGGGTCAAATTGTGATCGAAAGTCACAGCTTCCTGAAATATTGACAGAACCGTTAAATCCACGTGATCTGTTTTTTTTAATTAATCTATTATTATAGTAATCATGCTTTAAGCCGGAATTCCTTAAAACAAACTATCTAAAAGGGCTGAAACACAATTCTAAATGACTTCATTGAAATGGTAGCATGTCGAATTTGCAACGGTACCCTTAAAAGCTTTGTCAGTCTAAGAATATCCATAATCTTCTCTCTACTATACCACTGCAAAGTAAAAACATGTTAATCCCTGTCACTGGACAAGGTAGTGCAAGGCTAGGCTCCGACTGGGATGAATTTAGAAGAACTTTCATAATCCTTGAGATAGCAATGATCATAGATTAATTAGAATAAAAGATAAAACACTAGATGTCGTCTTTTTAAAGTTTTTCGTTCTCGTTCACAATAACCCTGAGACAGATGCCCTGAGACAGTTACGCGCAGTCGGCGCAGAACAGGCTCTCTCTCTGTCTTGAAATTCTATGCCGACTTTGCGTAACTCCTTTGGGCTTCTGTCTGAAGGTTGTTGAGAACAAAAAAACCCTAAATCTTGGACATCTAATCTGTGCATGCAGATTTCTGTTTCCATGGAGTAAAAATGTAATAGTTAAACATCAGCACTAAATAAATGTATTATTTACTTTCAGAAAAATTAGAGGGCGCAGCCATCGGGTTTATCATTGAGTGTTTAAATTAGAGGGCGCAGCCATCGGGTTTATCATTGAGTGTTTAAATTTCCATAGATTCTAATTTGTCTGAGAGTAAATGACATTCCTTTGTAAAATATTTATATATTTATATATTCATTCTGAAATCGATAAAAAGGGGGGATTAAATGAAAATTGTTGCATACAAAAAACCCAGCTTACATCAGATAATTGCTTACCACTTTCTACAAGTCCTAGATATTTACTGTTTATGGAAGCTTGTTTATCACGCAAAGTTGGCTTTTAATTAGTTTTTATTGATATGTTGTTTTTTAAAGCTAATTAATTTTAATTGTTTAATTGATTTGTTATGGAATCTAAACACCAACAAGAAATCAAATTAAAATTGTACTTCATCAATTATTCTCTAAATACAGTTTAACGTAAAACAAAAAAATAAACAAAAATCTAACATACTTAGGTTTAGGACGCTTCGCGCCCATCCTTTATTTTAATTTTTTTATTATGGCTCTATCTGTGAGCATCTTCCCTTTAAACAACATAAAACAACAACAAAAATTTTCGCCGATTTTCAAATATCTTTTCGCGCATTACTTAAATTTCATAAAAATAAAAAGCTTTTGAATACAATTCTTTGTAATTCTGAGCATCCATAAAATTTCCCTAGGGTCATGCGAGGTCCCACACAAAATTTGGGCCTGATTGGTTCAGCCGTTTTGATGTTTATTGGATACAAACAATACAAACAGACTGACAAGCAAAGAATCTAACACTAGGCTTATCGGGCGCTTCGCGCCATTAGCGATTTTAATTGTGAACATGTCATCTTTGTGTACACATATAAAACAAAAACAAACAAAAATTTCGCGGATTTTATAAAAAAAATTCGTGGATTTTCAAAATTTTTAAAAATCGAAAAGTTGCCATTTTTCTGTTGATGTACTAAAAAAATTATTTTAATTTTAAACATTTAATTCAAGGTTTTATTCAACTTTGACAGGCTACAACCCTTTTTTGTTCATTAGAACTATTTATTATTTATTCGAAAAATTGTGATGTTTATTTGAACTATTTTTAAGGAACATTTGAACCATTGTGTATATTTCTGTTCAAATCTAATGCAGGATATTTTCCTTAATGCTTAATAACTTTTTTATTAATAATTTTTATTAATTTTTAAATCCTCCCTTGCACCCTAACCATTAAAGTTAGAGGTCTATTTTTTTTAATGATCAGACCTTGAAAAATTGATTTAAGGACATCACACTCCTCTTTCTCAAAGCTAAAGGCAAAATCATAGGATGGGATGGAACCCCCAGCCTATATTAGACAAAATCATAGGATGGGATGGAACCCCCAGCATATATTAGACAAAATCATAGTATGGGATGGAACCCCCAGCCTATATTAGACAAAATCATAGGATGGGATGGAACCCCCAGCCTATATTAGACAAAATCATAGGATGGGATGGAACCCCCAGCATATATTAGACAAAATCATAGTATGGGATGNTATCAAATATGGGGGGGGGTATTATCTATTAGTATTTTAGAGCTGTAGCCTCAAAATTTCTTACAGTTACAGTATGAAGCGCAACTGAAAAAATTACTGCACTCATTTTGCACTCCATAGATTAATTACAACACAGATAGAACAATAGATGTCGTCTTTTCAAGATTTAGGGATTTTTCGTTCAAAAACCCTGAGACAGGAGCCAAAAAGAGTTCCGCGCAGGCAGCGTTAAAATATAAGACAGAGAGACTCGATGCACTGCCTGCGCAGAACTTCTTTGGGCTTCTGCCTCAGCTTTTCTTTTTTTAACAATTTGTAATTATTTGTGGACACCTCTGTGAACAAGATACATTATACTGTTCATGAAAGGCTGTTTATTAATAACTATTTCAGGTTGTTGATGATAATCAGAGTTCTTCATGGTGTTTTTTTAATATCTCAATTTTCACACCCGTATTAGTTTTCTCAAAATACATACCAAGAAGATTTCGAGAACTTATTGAAAAACTTTTATTTATGTTTAAATGTTTATTTATGTTTTTACAAATTATTAAAAGTGCCAAATTCATCTTTTATTAGCATTTGAAATTGACATTTAAAAAAAAAAAAAAAAAAACCCTGGATATAATATCAAATTGACAATTTGAATGATTTGAATTGTTTTATTGTTTCCTAACCTAACACAACCTCAACTGCGAAAATTTATCAGTCTTAGCAACCTAATATCATAAGATCATCTTATGATGCCAATTACAACACTGAAAAAAACCGTCACTGATTCGAATGCAATACTTAGACATCACATTACATGTTCAGCACATACAGAGTGTCCCATGAAACATGAAAGTTGGTAAATAGTTTAGAATGTCTTCTTCTATGATTTGTTAAGTTGTTTAATACCAAAGACAATGATAAAAATATTATATAGGAGTCATATTATAGTAAAATTAATTTCAAAGTAAAATATATTTGAGGAAAAGATTTTTAAACGAAATAAACTGCAAACAGCCTTTAATATCTAATACAGTGTATGGAAGACGACATTTAGAAATATTTACCAACTGTCATGTTTTGTGGGACACTCTGTTATAGCAAAAATGTTATTGTCCATGGAAATAAGGAGGGGCGTAGCAAAGGATTTTCTAGGAGGGTAAATTTCTAGATTTTTTTTCTTACCCCNCCCCCCCCCCCTTGGGAATTTTTTACCCTCCCTAGACACTATTATAAATTAACCTCATTCATCTAATTATGGGTTTTAATCGGGTTTGATTTAATTTCTGGCATTTCTCAATCAAATAAAAGGCTTCCTTTCCCATCTTGCAGTTATCATCTTATTAATATAAACCCTATGATATATAGTCAGTATATATATGTAGAAGAGATTTATTCCTCATTTGAGATAAAATATTAAGGTTTTATAAAGATCAATATAAGGCACGAAGTAGCAACATTTTTGTGGTGCAAATTAATAATATTAATATTATTAATAAAATATTAATTATTATTTCTATCATTATTACTAGAATTATTAGTATTATTATAATTATTAGTATTATCATTATTATCATTGCCGTTATTATCATGGAACATCTTTCTTGGTTAAAACATGTTGACATTTACCCCAGTGCAAGTACGCTACTGCATTAAATAATCGATTTTTTGGTAAAACTTATCAGAGTTACTTTAATTAAGTAGATTGAATTTAATGACGCGCGAAGTGCCAAACAAAATTGTTTTGTTTTCCTTTTTTGGTAATCATGGACCTTGAAAATGGAGATCAAGTTTCTAGAAAGATTCTAGGGGGGGGGGGAGTAACTACTACCCTCCCAATAACCCCGCCTATATACGCTTATGTTACTACCTGAGATTCTTTCATCCATTCATCGTCCTCGCTACCACTGGATTCACTAGCACTCGCCCAGGAGTCCACAAGGTATGTACCAGGACCTGCAGCTGCCATAATGGTCTAAAATATGATCAAACTGTTGGATTAAATAGAATTTTCATCAACATTTATATTCTTTCAATGCACTGATTTCATGAATATGTTTTTAATATTAATTGTTTCTGCCTTCTTAATTTTTATTATTTTCCATGAACATCTTTATTAAATCTTATTGATGTTTTGAATTTCAAATTCATTCATAAAATATTTAGATGTTGAAATAAAATAAAAATATTAATAAACTAACTGCGAATAACATTCTCAATTATTATAAATATTATACAAAATAGAAATCATGCTGCTGAGGAATGTTTTAGACACGAAACAAATTGTTCAGCAATAAAATGGAAAAATAATGTGTCCTTTATTTATTAAATATATTAAATAGCTCATAGATCCAGACTGCTATTAAAAGTTGCATCAATCAGTCAAGAAACGCCTTCGCTTTTGATTTTATTTCCCTGACTAAGTGAAACTTTTTTTGTTGTCCTAAGCTTTCTTATTTTAGGAATATAAAGCACTTGTTTTTAGATTTATTTCTCAAGAAATTTTTAGCAAATTCTCATAGATTTTAACGGGAGAGCTTGAAATGTATGAATAAATATTGCTCAGTCCTAGTTTCTCGTGTAATTCTAAGACTATGAATATAAACTGTACACCTGGTAATCAGGGTGTCTTCACCCAGACAATTTAAAATGTTTCTGTTTCTGACTATATATAGATTTAATAAAATTGCATACCTACAAACCTCGAATTTATTGTAAAATACTCGACTAATAACTGAATTTCCAATTTTGTTTTTAACTAAAAAAACCCGTTTGTAAAATATTATTCTTAATTTGTTACTTGTGTGTGTATATATATCGTGGACGTATATCCAGCAACTAGACCCTGGGCCTTTACACTTTACTGGATCTTACAGTTCCAAAGTTTCGTAAGGTTTATCACGAATTGAGCTCATGATACAAAACTTGTTTTTATCTCGCACAAATATCTATACAGTATACCTTTACTACCTTAGCTTTATATATATACAAAATAAAGCAAGGATCCAACGTTTACGTAATATAAACAGATTTGTATATTTTAAACATTTAAAATTATTCATACAAATTATACAATACATCTTTATCTTTAATTCTTTGCCACAAACTCAAATGTTCTATTCCTTATATATCTTTGCAACCCAATGATGTAATCCTTTGATATTTCAAGCTTAGATTATTTTGATCCACCGGAATTCATAGATTGAAAGAGATGATGTGTACGACATTAGGTAGCAAACAACTGATCC